CACCACCTCCCCGGCGCGCGCACCAAACACCACCGCCACCTGCACGAGGCCCAGCGGGCGCGGCGTCCGCATTCGCACTTTCGCCACGGGTGCCCCCGGGAGCTCCGCGGGGCCGAGGGTAGTGGCCTTGCCGTGGCCAGCGGCCTATAAGGCTCAAGAGGTTCGGCCCAGGGATTCTGGAGACCGGCCGCATTCCCCGGAGAGTGGGCTTCACCGCCACTACCCAGCTGCTTCTCTCTGGGGCTCCCGGCGAATCGGCGGCGACGAAAGCAGCGACTCGTCCCCGAGGGAAGGGGGCGGAGCGCGGGGAGGTGGCCAGCAGCGCCGGGGAGGCTCAAGCGGCGCTTTGGACGGACGCAGATTCGCGAGGCGGGCGGGGCCAGCCCCTGGGCGCTTCTTTCCTGCCCCTTCCTCGCGCGGCCAGAAGTCGAGACGACTGCAGATTCCCCGCCGGCTCGGCTCCAGAGGCGAAGACAGTCATGCCCAGGCAGCCCACTCCTGCTGGCAGAGTCAGCTATTGGTTTTTTTTTTTTCCTCCTGGATCTTTCCGACTAGCACAGCCCAAGGGACAGTCCACTTCCGACCTAGGGGTGGGGGGGAAAAAATGGCTACAATGCAAAAGTCTTCTCAGGATTCCGAGGAGGAATGTTCAACCCAGGGAAGGGACCCACACCGGCCTGAGGAGCCGACCTAGCGAATCTGCGGATCCCGCTGTGGGCGGGGCCAGGGCCGCGCGCGCGGCGGAGGGGCGGGGCCTGGGCGTGCGGAGCCACGACGTCACGCGGGCGCTTCCTGTTGGACCCACCAAAAAACCAGCGGGGCGGGGAGGGGCGCCCGGAGGTGAAAAAAATGCCCCCGGGAGCGATGGTGACTCAGGCGGTTTGCCTGATGCTGCAGGCAACGTCGGGGAGGGGTTCGGCCCATCTGACGGATGGGGAGACGCGAGGTCTGACCGAGGCGCAGCGTGTTCCCAGGCTCAGCCCACCCCTGGTGGGTGTTAGGTGGTCCCAGGGTTCTGAGTCTCGAGTCTCCTAAGTGTACAAAAAATAAAGATCCTACGCCGGGCGCTGGTGGCTCACGCCGGTCATCCTAGCTACTCAGGAGGCCGAGATCTGAGGATCATGGCTTGAAGCCAGCCTGGGCAGGAAAGTCTGTGAGACTCTTAGAAGCTGGAAATGGCGCTGTGGCTCAAAGGGTAAAGCTCTAGCCTTGAGCAAAAAAAAAATCTCAGGGACAGCTCTCCCTCTACTTCTAGCCCCCAAACTGACGCGATAGATAGATAGATAGATAGATAGATAGATAGATAGATAGATAGATAGATAGATAGATAGATAGATAGATAGATAGATAGGATATGCAGAGATACCTAAATAAATAAATGGATATACTTAGGAATCCAAGCATCCTCACCCCAGCTTTTAATTTAGGATCCTAGAGGTGAGGTGGCCCTAAAACTGAGGACTGTTTTTCTCTCTTCCTCCTCCTCCTCCTCCTCCTTTCTCCTCTTCCTCGACTTGAACTCACAGCCTCTCTTGCTTGGCTTTTTGCTCATGGCTGGTGTTCTACCACTTGTTACACCGTCACTTCTGGCTTTTTGCTGGTTAATTGGAGATCAGAGACTCATCAACTGTTCCACCAGGGCTAGCTTCGAATCTGAATCATTCTGTCTCAGCCTTCTGAGTAGCTAAGATTATAGACATGAGCCACGGAGGCAAGGCTCTGAGTAACCTTATATCTTGTTTAGATACAGGTGCCCTGGTGTCTAGAGGAACTACCCTCCAGAGTGTGCCCTGAACCTACTGCATCTCCACAACAGTCCCTCACTGTATGACCTTGAGTGTCCACTTCTTCAACAATTGAGGGTAATTTCTGTCACAGAAGACATATGAAGATATCAGAACAGTGCAGGAGAGGTTTTTGAAGCCTGTTTTTTTTTTTTTATTTTAAGTAATAAGGACAGCATTTGTCCAAGGTCTCCTGCCACAAGAATAAAAGACAGAGGATTAGGGCTGTCTAAAATTACAGAGGAAATAAGACTGAAAAAAATAAATCTACATGAAGGCAGAGTAGATGACATGAGGTTCCTTGAAGTTGAAAGGTACTGATTCCTGTTTTCAATCAGAAAGATTCTCATGTGACAGGAATGGTAATCCAAGCTCAGTCCCACTGACTTGCTCACTGCCTAGCTTTGGTCAAGATCATCAGCCCACGTGGGCCTCATCTTCCTATTCTCTATCGTGTTTTTCCACTGTAAACAAACAAATAACACAATTGTCTCTTGAAGTGTTTGAGAGGGTGAAATGGGACAGCCTATGAGAAGTTCCTTAGGATGTAGTATTGATTCAAGAAAAAAAAAAGTGTCTTCAAATCCTGAATGGAAGAGATTATGGAGATTCAAAAGTTCAAAAGTCTTAGACTTGGAATAACTGTTTCCAGATTAAGAAACTACTGGTCCTTGTTATACCTGGACCCTCTCCCTATTAGGTATACTCACGTCTACCTGGCTCTTAGGAATAAGTAACCTGTAAGTATTTATTTATTTTGCTAGTCCTGGGCTTGAACTCAGGGCCTGGGCACTGTCCTTGAGCTTCTTTTGCTCAAGGCTAGCGCTCTACCACTTGAACCACAGCACCACTTCTGGTTTTTTTTGTGTTTATATGGTTCTGAGGAATCGAACCTAGGGCTTCACGTATGCTAGGCAAGCACTCCACCACTAAGACACATTCTCAGCCAGAAGAAATAACCTTATCCAAAAGGCCTCCCCTCATCCCATTCGCAGCTACAAGGATATCTGTGAAACACACTTTTATTATACAAAACTAGGTGGATCGAAAATTCAGTGTCAGGGGTTGGAGGTGTCGCTCAGTTGGTAGAGTGCTAGCCAATGAGTGAAAATATTAGGTACCGAGTTCAAGTCCCAGTTTCAGACCCCTCAAAAAAAAATGAAAAATTCAGTGTCCAAGGACTGACCTTCTCCCTTAAAACTGCCTTCCCCAAACCTTGCTAAAGAATCAAATAGGGCTCATAAGGCCCTTGGTCTTCAAAGACACCCTCCCCCCTTGAAACACTCAAGGGAGAATCAGATCCAGAGGTGTGTGAGCCCACTGAGGGGTGGGCTTGAATCTCCAAAAACAGGGTGTCTCCTTTTAGGAAAGAAGCTGACCCAATACCCAGAGACACCCAAAGCAGATAAAGCAAGAATGTGGAGCCTATCAAAACGCCAACTGTGCCAGATGGCAGTGGCTCACACTTGTAAGCTACTCAGGAGGCTGAAATCTGAGGAATGAGGTTCAAAGGCAGCTGGAGCAGGAAACTCCAGAAGACTCCAATCTCCAATTCGCCACCAAGAACCTAGGAGCAAAAAAGCTAAGGTACAGCACCTAGGCCCTGAGTTTAAGCACACAACTGTAATATAGATTCCACACAGCGGGAGCAAAGGCTGACTGCCTAGGGGCAGCTGTGTGGGTGTGTCACCTTCTGACCTAGCCATCCTATAGAGAAGTAAGATGTTGAGGGTAGGCACCAAAAGTCTCACTAAGGTCACCCTCCTCCCTCAGCAGTCCCCAGGATCCCTGGACTGAGGAGGCTACTTGCCTTCTTGTTCCTCCCAACTAGACAAAATAGCGCTTACAAACCCCATGGACTGACAGGAAACATCTCTGGGAAGGTGAGACCCCTCCCTACCCCCGCCTCTCCCTCCATGGCCACAGTAATCTGGCCACCTGAGAGGGGCCACAAGGAGTGACTCCAGCCAAGGGTAAGGATGGTCTGCAGGCCCCAGAGCCCTTCCAGACCTGAGGGAGGCAGATCTCACAGTAGAGGTTGATGCCAGGCTCACACAGCCTGCAGCTCCCCCTGCAGGCGACTCAGCTCCTCCAGCTCCTGCTTATGCCGGTCTGTCTTGTGGGCCACCAAAGAGCGGTAAAAATGCAGGGCAAAGGCCACAAACACAAGTCCTACTGGCACCATGATGGCTGTGGAAGCCATAGCTGCCTGCCAGCCGGGCCCGTGGGCCCCACCACCACACACTTGCCGGGGTGGGCAGTTCTTAGGAGACTCAGTCCGTGAAGGGGCTATAGAAGCAGAGGATGCTGGGAGGTTGGAAGATGGATTGAAGGAGGTGGTCACGGATGGCACCTGAGACGTAGGTACCATGGGAGCCGATGTGTCCAGGGGAGCCCCAATGGGCACAAATTTGACCCAACCCACCAAGACAACTTCAGCCAGGAAGAGAAAAGTGCCCAAGGCAGTGGAGAAACCCCAGGCGAGTTCCACATAGCGGTGGAGTCGCTGGTGTGGTGACTGGTGGACAGAGTTGAGGTTGTGGATGTTGCTCACAGCTTCAATGTGGGGCAGCAAACACGTGGAGACCATGAGTGCAAAGAGGTGCACAGCCACTAATACAGTGGTACAGGCGCTAAAGGCTACCAGCAGGCCTGGTGGGTATTCGTGATCACTCTCCAGCTGTACCTCCACCATGGCCACCTGTGGGCACAAAAGGGGATGACTGAGTGCTTGACAGTAAGGAGGTGGTTTACTGATTAGGACCCATCCCATCTATATATGTAGGACCCAGAACAGTGCCTGACAGAGGGAAGGTTCTCAATCCTTTTTGGTTGTGGTTCTGGTCCTGGTCTTGAACTCAGGGCATGGGTGCTCTCACTGGCCTTTTTGCTCAAGGATAGCACCTTGCCTAAAGCTCTCAATCTTAAAGGGCTTTGTCCTATGCTGGGACCAGCTTAGATTACATGTTTTTGAGTTTGACTTGATCATCTCATAGAAGTTAAAAGACACAAGGTGTATGACTAGGGTTCACTCTCAGCTCTACAAGCTATGCAATCTTTTTCTTTATTGTGCCAGTCATGGGGCTTGAACTCAGGATATGGGTGCTGTCCCTGAGCAATTTTTGCTCTTTTTGCTAGTACTCTACCACTTTGAGCCACAGTGCAATTTCCAGTTTTCTAGTGATTAATTGGAAATAAGAGTCTCATAGCCTTTTCTGCCAGGGCTGGCTTTGAACTGCAATCCCCAGATCTCAGCCTCATGAATAGTTAAGATTACAGGTGTGAGCCACTGGTGCCTAGCTTTTTTTTTTTTTTAAGATAGGATCTTGGTTGAATTGTTCAGGATGGCTTTAAATGAATCATTCTCCTGCCTCAGCCCCCAGAATATCTGGGATTTCAGGCATGTATCACGATGTCCAGCCAGCTGTATAATTTTCAACCAGTGGCTTAGTTCTCTCTGTGCCTCAATTTCCTATCTGGAGAATGGAAACTGATACTAACACCTACCTACTTCATTGGGTTGTTGAGAAAGCTAAAGAGCATACACTGAGTGTTAAGAACAACTCTAGCACGTAGTCACTCCCAAACAAATTAATAGATGTTTGCTGTCTTTATTATAGTTGATCATAAACTCCAAGACCAGAGTCTGCAAATTGGTACACCATGAATCAAAGCCAGCTTCAGGCATATTTTGGTTGGCTCACACAGTGTGCTTTTTAAAAAAACTGAGTAAGTTTCCAGTTTTTAAAACTCAAGAGGAGTCATATAAATATCCCTGTTTCCAGATCTTCCTGAAAACTTGGCAGATCTGGTCACACTAGGCTCACATTCCAGCATGGCAGCCATCAGTTCAGAGTTGAATCATGACTTCCCTGGAGACAAGTCATGGGGTCCCTTGATCACATGTCCCTACCCTGTCAACTTGGCATTCACCTCACACCTATCTGGCTTTTGCAAACAAGTGAGTTAATGATTCTGTTCTGGGCATGTACAAATTTGTGGACTCTAGAGATAAGATTGCTTAAAGTTTAAGTATGTATTCTGCCACGTGTAGAATCTTGGTGTGTGTGTGTGTATGTGCAAATGTGCGCTACTACCAGGATTTGAACTCAGGGCCTCACACTTTCCTTTGACTTGCTTTTTTGCTCAAGGCTGATGCTGTACCACTTAGGCCATACCTCACTTCTGCCTTTTGGAGAAGAGTCTCATATATTGTGCTGGCTTTCAACTGCTATCCTCAGATCTCAGTCTCCTGAGAAGCTAGGATTCCAGATGTGAGCCACCAGAGAGCCACCCTTTTGTCATCAGTAAAAATGGTCATGGTAGTGGTACCCTTTCACAGAATAACAGGTAAATGATGCACATAAAAAGCCCTGGGTGGGGTTGGGAAGGTGGCTCAGTGGTAGAGCGCTTGCC